TGGTTTAAATAAAGAGGCGCCGTCGAGGGAATGGGATAATTTCTCGCCGCATCTTTACACGCACGCCGTACAAACTGCTTGGTGTTTTTTCAATCTTTCGCGTGTTTCGAGCGTTTCACTATCTACTTATAGTAAAGAAACATTAATACAAAGATTCGGTACTTTGAACGTGGGATGGTAACTAAATAGCATTTTTCTTTTTCATCTCCTGCCCGGACTTTTCATTTTCTGAAAAATTTATAACCTTAAGTCTTCTATGTTAGTCTAAATAACGAAAGTGTCTTAATTCTGCATGTAGACTAACCTCGTTCGTAGGCTCCTCTTTTTCTTGTCTCATGAAGCGCGAGGAAAAGAAGAGAATAACTCGAATTAGATCTGCCTTTGTGCGTGCCTCACGGTCATTGCAGCACAACCTGGTCAGTGGAGCCAGGACCCTCTTCCTCCCCTCCCTCCCCTCCCTCTATCAACACCAAAGATGATGATAAGTGAACTTTCAGAGCGAACATAATGACCATTGTGAAATACAGCATGGAGCAAACTCAGCTTCCTTCCCGAAACTGATTAAATTCAAATCAGAAATAGAAACGTAAACTTTTGCTGTGATTTTATTATTTCGACTGCCATACGGCAAGGAGCATGATCATGTTGAAGCGAGTCAACCATAATGTGACGGAGGTTCTTTCCTACTGATTATCATTTGGAAAATTTCCCACCGGTGACAAACACGCGACAATAATGTTAATGATATGTCATACTTACTGCAGATCTCAGAAATGATATTGTCGAACAGATAAGATATTTCGCTAAAATTTTCTTTCAGCTGACCCTTAAATTCCTTATATTATCTGGTGCCAACAGCCAAAATTTTAACGTCTTTAGCCTGCAAAACATTATTATTGATTGCAATGGAAATTCTGAAGGAATGGGACCGAGGAGAGGGGGTCGGGTCAGTAGGATTTTGGTTGTCTTACTATCGAGTAACTTGATCCCCCCTAAGGCTTATGATCCCCCCCTCCCTTATTGGCAATTAATTGGCAGTCGGGGGTTTTTAAGAGGCTCTCAAATACTTGAGATTAAGCATAAAAACAAAATTTTGGGCATCATTTTTGGCATTATTCTTTTTTTCAGGGGTGACGCCTAAAGCATAATGCTCAAATTTTAATCTTTTGATTTTGATCCAGATAATTTTTGAGACCAACAAGATAATGTCCTTTTGAAAGAAATAAAAAACAACGCTTGGATCGTTCAGTGCGGCCATTTTGGACATTTTTTTGCTCCGTATTACTTCCCGATTTTACAGTGTGACACCGTTGCATATTTGCACATTAGCGATCCCCTCCAGCAGCACATTCCCATTAGCCTCTTACTAGAAAGTACCTCCCCCCTCCGCCTCTTCGCGAAAAGTGACAAGTACCCTTCGGATTGAATAGTATTGGAAGATTTTTCGAAAGACAACAGCAAACTGAATAAGTCTCCATTTAGAAAAATTTTATGGTCTTATCAAAATGCGCGAATTTGTAAAAGCACCGATCACATGAGCAAAGTCAACAGTCGCATGTTTCAAGATAGGGCAATTAGAACGACTTTTCTTTTATCAGCTTTTTCCTGAGGCACAAGCGATAGGAACACCTGAGCAGTAAATAAACAGCGGCTACAACGATGATTAACAGGAAAATAAAAAGAGTGAATACGTCCATAAGGTAAAGCTGATAAAATGGTAGATCCAGGCTTCGTGGTCTGAGGAACGATAAGTCACCTTGAGCCTGCGCGTACTCCACCCATTCAGCGGCCTCCTCGATGGCAGAACGCGGGCGCAACTTGATAGACTTGGAAATTCTAGCAGCATTCTCGCGGTAGCTAAAAACGTAAAAAACGCCATTAATTGACACAAATGCTTTTAAGATAAAGAGACAACAGCTTTTAAAATCCACCATAGATGAATCATGACCAGCTTTTAGCCGTTGTATAATCTGAGTTACCTTGGATTGTTGAGAACAGTGCTTATTAACGTCACAAGACTCTCCTCAGTTATTGACTCCTTATGCAAAATCTCCGCCATCCCAAAGTGCTTTGCCGCCACAGAGTTATCAAACTGGTCGGCAAAAAAGGGAACACAAATCATAGGGACTCCATGGTAA